CGAGAGTGGTCAGGAAAGCAAATACTACCACTCCTAAAACTGACACTAAGGAACTGACACCCACTCTGTTAGAAGCATTAAGGTGACTATTGGATAACTGGTTAGATGCATTCTCACAAGGGGACCATGACCTGGAATGTAGCAATGGGATTGAACATGAGATACCCAAAGGAGAGGAGCCACACATCCAGGAAAGATATAGACGCATACCTTCCACACCTTCACCAAGAAGTCAAGCAGATGCTAGATAAGATGATGCAGCAAGGAGTGATCAAAGAAGGCGGTAGGAAGAAGGATTATTATTATTATTATTATATAGGATTTATATAGCGCCAACAATTTGCGCAGCACTTTACAATATAAGGGAGACAGTACAGTTACAATACAATACAATTTCAGCACAATAGGGTTGGGAGGGCCCTGCTCGTGAGAGCTTACAATTTAGTAGAAGGGGCAAGTTATTAAAAAAGTAATAATTGTTTAGATTGAGTTATTGGAAGAAGTAAAAGGGAGTTATGTTGAGATGAGATAGGCTTCCCTGAAGGAGATGGGTTTTAAGGATCGCCTAAAGGTGGGCAGCGTAGGAGACAGGTGGACAGATTGGGGTAAGGAGTTCCAGTGGTTGAGGGACACTCTGGAGAAGTCCTGGAGGCGAGCATGGGAGGAGGTAATTAGAGAGCTAGAGAGCAGGAGGTCTTGAGAGCAGCGGAGAGGATGGTTTGGGTGATATTTTGAGATGACGTCGGTGATGTAGGTTGGGGCAGAGTTGTAGATGGCTTTGTATGTTGTTAGTATTTTTAATGTAATTTTTTGGACAATTGGGAGCCAGTGGAGCGATTGGCAGAGAGGGGCGGCAGACACTGAACAGTTGGTAAAGTGGATGAGTCTGGCAGCAGCATTAATGATAGACTGAAGGTGGGATAGCCTACTTAGTGGTAAGCCAACAAGGAGGGAGTTGCAGTAGCCGAGGTGAGAGATTATAAGGAGTTAATTAGAAGCTTTGTGGTTTCGCTTGTTAAGAAGGACGGCATTTTAGAAATGTTACGGAGGTTGAAGGGTGTGCCCTTTACTTTTTTTTGGGACTATGGACATCTAAATGCTGTTACCAAAAGGGAAGCCTCATCAAGCACGACACCCAAAACGCAAATCTGTGCAGGGTAGGCTAGAAATGGAGGGGGGGGGGCACATAAAAGTGGAATAGGGACTGAAACATGTGGTTCCAAGTGGAATGGGGATCAGTATAACTGCTGCGAGGCTCAGCTTGTGAGAAATTAAATTAATGGACCCACTACTTAGCAAAACTAGTCTGGAAATACAACCATACAGTACATTCCTCGACAGGCCACTCACCCTACCATGTTGTATTTGGCCATACTCTCAGGTGGTCCACAGACCTATGGACCACATTACCCACAGAAGAACTTAAACATCCAGAGTTCAGGAGTCAAAACAGCGCCTGCCTAAACTCCCAACAGTTTGTTAAACATTGGTCATGGGTGGGGCAAGAGGAGTTGGAAGTAGCAGACTTTGATCTTTAACCTTGGGACAGAGGGTTAGCCCAAGGTAAAACTGCACACCAGCAAGAAACATAAAGACGCCACGGGAAAAAGTACCATGTGTACCATTCTATCATATCCAGAGAGAAGGAACCCAAGAAAAACCGAAACACCTACACTGTAAATTCCGCAATCACATTAAGACCCACAGAGAGACCCATAAGGGGGTTTTCAAAGAGCTTGTTCTAGTTTGTGACCCCAAAAATCGAATTTCTCCTGGGTTATCACAGAGTGGCAGCAGGATTGTGACTCATATGCATTGTGGACATGCATGGACAGTTTTATCATCAACCATATCTGCTGTCAATTTATCAAGGACGTACTGCACACATTCAACATTGCATACAGCATTGACATTGCACCTGGGATACCCAACACTGAGGGTACCAGCAGGTAAGCAAACACTAACACAGCTGAACTTCTTCACTGACCCACACAACACTACACCACATACTTCAGTTACTGCCACTGCATCAAAGCATTGCTCCACTGACGGCCACTATACCAATACAATTCTCCACTAAGCACTACTGCAATGACATACTTATCCATTGACCACCACCGTATCGACACACTTCTGCACAGACAGACACTGTGCAACAGGTTCTTCTCTTATTGCAACCATACAGCACTTCTCTCCCGATCAATGCTTCAAATATGCACTTCAACACAGATGTTATGGCATCTCCAGTAGTGCTAATTTTTGTTTGCAGAATCCCAGCCAGGATTTTCCAGAATCTCTGCCAGAACTGCTAATGGCACTAATTTCTGCCAGTACTTCTAATGGTGCTCGCAGAATCCCTGCCAGGAATTCCAGATCTCCCTCCAATGATGACGGGTGTGTTTCCTGATCCAGGTGTATTTAGACACTAGCCCTAGAAGTGTCTGAAGCTGGTCTTCTTTCTAGCTACCCTGCTTGTTGTGAGAGAGCTATAATATATTTGGATTGCCTGTTTGGTTGCTGACCTTTATGGACTCGACTACTCCTGCCTACCAACATTCACCTGAATCCAACTACTCTGTTGCCTTGCCTGTCCCGGACCTCTGCCTGGACCCAACTATCCATCTTCACTTGTCCGCTCTAGTGCCTTGCTTGTTGCTAACCTCTGCTTGGATCCGGCCCTTCTCCAGTCCTTCCCTGGTGTACTGTCTACAGATTGTGGCCTCCTTGTCCCCCACTCACTCCCTGGTAGGGCTACCTTGAGGGCCGCAGCCTAGTACCAGCATGCCATGAAAATCCATCTCCACCTTCAGGAGCTCTGGAAAAAAAACGGCTGGTGCTTAGACTCTGCCCCTTCAGTGAGTCTGTGTCACCACTAGGGGGTGCAACCATAAAAGCAGATCATCACTGCTCCTACACTCTTCTTCACAGACCACAATTAAATCCATGCAGTTCTTCACAAACTACCACTCCACTCACCATTACTGAACCCACACACTTCTCTGCTGATGACATTGCCCCCATGCACTTCACAGACCCCTCATTGCCCCCATGCACTTCTTTACTGACCACCACTGCATTCTTGGACAGACTGCCCCTGCACCAATGTTCTTCTTTACAGATTGCCACTGCACCCTTTTCTAAAAGGCCAACTGTTTTCCCAGATGTACAAATCAACTTTACAGCACACATGAACTTCTCTAAAGACCACCACTGCCCCCATACACTTCACCACAGATCACCAGTGCCCCCGTGACCTTCTCCATAGACTATAATTGCACCCACTCACTTTTCTACAGACCTCCACTGCCTTACTCACTTCTGCCCAGACTGCCACTGCATCCCTGCACTTCTCTACATTACCACATCTCCTACTGACTCCTACAGACCACCACTGTATTCACACTGTTTTTAACAGGGCGCCACTGCACCCACATGCTTCTTCAGGCTGCCAATGCACCCACTTTTTTAAACTGTTTACACAGACATATAGATCAACCATACAGCACCATTGAACTTCTCTACAGGCCACCATGGCTCCCATGCATTACTCAGACCAACAATACACCCATGTCCTTCTCCACAGAACGTAATTACACCTACTGACTTCTTTGCAGACCAACACTGCACCTACAGACGTCTCTACAGGCCGCCGTTGCACCTACACACTTTTCCAAAGACCCCCAATGTCTTATGCACTTCTTAACAGATTGCCACATGTCCCATGTGTTTTTTTTTGTAGACCACCACTGCATTCCCACATGTTTTCACAGAGCAGCACTGCATCTGCAGAATTCATCACAGAACCCTTTTGTACCCTTGCACTTCACCACTGCCTCCGGGCATTTCTCCACAAACCATCACTACCTCCACATGGTTCTCCACCCACTACCACTGCCTCCATGCACTTTTCTACAGACCACCACAACCTACACACCCTTGTTTACTGCAATTAAGCACTTTTCTACAAAACCACCACTGTCTCCACACACTTCTCCACAGACCACCATTACCTACACACCCGTCTTCACTGCAACCAAGTACTTCTCCACAATTGCCCCCATGCATTTCTCAACTGACAGCCACTGTATTCTGGAACTTTTCCATTGACTGCAATTTCTCCACTGACAGTCACTGCACCTAAGCATTTCTCCACAGACCGTGGCCCTATACAAATCAATAAGGGCTCCCTGAAATGACACAGCCAATGCTCAAGGTGACTTTTATTTTATAACCAATGAAGCAGTACATAATTAAGGCAAGTAGGATGTCAGGGTTGGAGAGGGACATAAGTATACAGAAATTCAGGAGGGTAGATAATGAGGCTAGGTTGCGGTAGCTTTGAATAAAACTTTAGCTATCCTTCAAACTGCCTGACAATTTTAGGCATCTCTTTGGGGCTATTAAAAGGTATTGGCTTTATATTGTTTCAAAACAGCATAATATGATTTGAAATCACTTTTAATTGCAGTTTTGTTTTTATGAAGTATTTATATTTGTTATAATTCCTCCTCAATATAGTCATACTAAATGGAGTATTCTTAAGTTGAGGTTTGAGGACAACATTTTAAAAAAAAAATATGAACAGGTACTTTTCTGTGCCATTGTGGCCAGCATAATTATGTATTTTAGGCTTGTTTTCTTTGCATTTCTAAAGGAAACGTTTAGAATGAGCAACAGACTGTACTTCCCTGAGGTTTACCAATCAGAAAGTTAACATTGGGATAGCTTCAAATATACTGTATAAAAAAAGGTAACAGATGAAAGCATTAGTCATGACTAAACCGGTCCCATCATAATGTAACAATGGTTTTTAATAAATGTAACAATACTATCACTTACCTGATGGAGGACCGATTGGCTGAGGAGGCCCCCCAAGTGATAATGTTCAGGCTTGGCGATTGGCTGCTCAAGCCTGAGCACTGCTGCATCCTCGGAGGAGGACATAGTCACATGCTCCACCTATATACAGAAGTACAATGCATTTCTCAGCACTCCCAAAGATGAGCAAAGTGGTGGGAGAGTGTGAAGAAAGGTGAGTATAGTGTGTATGAATTTTAGGGGGAATACCACACCATTATACAGTAGTTTATATATATCCTAGAACTTAGTAAAATTAGTTCATGGCTCTATATACAGTATGTGCTGCCTCCAGCAGCTGCATGGCAATGCAGTTGCATTGATGTCTATTATGTATTGATATGGTTTATGTTCTGGTATGCTGCCACCTGTGGTCACTGTGTTAGTTACACTTGTTTTCTGTATAGCCTCCTCTTTTTGTATGATATAATTTCTGCTTTCCCCGGTGTTAGAGTGCAATTAGTAGACCAGACATGCACATGAGGTGAGGAGAGAAATATCCCGTTTTGACCTTCAAATACCAGTGTTTACCACATTCAAGGCCGCCCCTATGTTGAGGCAGCCTTAAGCGGTTGCCTCAGGTGGCATCTCATTGTGTCACATGGGTCCTTTCCCAGCCAGAGCATCCCAGGAACTCTTAGCAACCTGTGACACTCTGGCCCAGGTCACTGACATCACTGGTTCCCAAGAGCTGAGTGAGATGCTCTGGCTGGCATCCCGCCCAGCTCCTGGCAACTAGAGATGTCAGTGAACTGACTGGGAAGCTTGGCAGAGGTACTGTGCACCCCCATCGCCTCTCTCCTCGTAATGTGCCTCCACCATCATCCCCCCACCACACTGGCGTCAGGCGGCGAATAGTGTAAGGACGCCCCTGACCACATCATATTGTTTGCCAGAATCCATATGCATGCAATAAAGATTATCGTATATATAGAATAATATAAAATATTTGAATTTGTTTTTATGTCTCTCATTTTTTTAGAAAATATTCTAGAAACCTTTGTATCAATTGTTTTAATAATGTAGAACCTTTAGGATTCTTCACCAGGTGTTTGTTTTTGTTGTATTATCTAAGTGCATGACAAAATGATCAGCTGTATACATACTGACTCTAGGTACTATGAAAGGGTTTAATATTTAATTACTGCCCCCCATAAATTAGGGTTTTTATGGTTGATAGTCCAACACGTGGAATGTCCCTGAAACGCATCCCTAGCAACAGGAAGCCAACAGAATACATAGAAGTAGATGGAACATCCTAGAGAGTAGGGATGCACAGATACCAATACTAGTATCAGTTATGATACTGAGTATTTGGGCAAGTACGAGGACTCGCCCAAATGCTCCGATACCTTCCCCGATACCGGAACTTCCCGCCACGAGGAAACATGGAGCCGTCTTCCCAGCCAAACCCAGGCATTGAGCCAGCCAAACAGCTTGGAGCCTCTTCCTGGTCAATCAGGAGGCTGGGCGGCGAGTAATGACGCACCTTACGGCTTCCTAATTGGCCAGGAAGCTGGCTCTATGCTGATAGGCTGGGAAGCCGGCTTCCCAGCCAATCAACATCGAGCTGTCCAAATAGCATGGAGACGGCTTTCCGGGAAAACAAGAAGCTAAGCGGTGGGTAATGACACGTTTCCTGATTGCCCTGAAAGCCGGCTCCATGATAGCAGCAGTACCGGTATTGGTACTCGGTATCGGCGAATACCAAAATATAAAAATCGGTACTCATACTCGATAACGAAAAAATAGTATCGGTACATCCCTACTAGAAAGTGCTCATGTGGGTCGAGAGAAGAGGTGCAGGAGAAGCATGTGAACCAGGAATAAGGGAGCCAACTGGCTGCCCCCAGTAGTGGTGGCCACAAATGGCTGAGTGCAGAAGACTGATCTCACCACCTACATACCATGAGTACAAAGCTTTCTTTGTCAGTGTGTAACTTTGTTTTGTATTGGTTCATATTAAAGAAACTACTACACAATGCTGTTGTACTGCAATGCATGTTCATGATCAATACAGAGCTCTGCAAGACTGAAGGAAGAGAGAATGCATGTTCTGACTGATCCAGATGTGTGTGTAGTTTGAGCTTCATCTAGTCAGCCATGTAAACAGGCATTTTCCATAAAAGGGGGCCTGGGTTCCACCTGCCAGATGTATTTATAAGCAATATTTATCATTTATAAAATATTTTATATTTTACATTTATTTAATATGTAACAAAAAAGGTTATTTTTAGTCCCAAGCATAAAAAAAATATAAATAGAAACACAGATTCCCTTTTAAAAAGAAGGTAAACAAAGAAAGGGAAGACAATATAAAATAATTCCCTGACCTTTGCTCAGTGCCAAAAATGAACAAATTTAATTATAGAACTGGAAACATTTCTCCCAGGAACCTCACGCTTGTTTAGCTAAGGAGAAGTCTTGCAGCTTGTTAGGTAAATATACTTTTTGCTGCTTCTTTTTGTTTGAGCTGGCAGACTCTCTGATGGGGAATGTTACTGTACTGGCCAAAAAAGACATCATTCAGCTGAAATCAGGTGATAAAATCAGTACACCAAACAAAAGACAATGGCCGATCATGTTCAGCAATTAAATGTACAAAAGTTTCCCCACAAAAGCATCACAATAACGCAACTTGTAAAATTATAACGGTGGAAAGAATCCATACAAAGATGTCAAAGGCAGATCTGTGGTTCTGTCTTGATTGACAGATGCAGTGCACTATTTAAGAACGGCGGTTTATTAAAGGAGAACTATGAGTCGAGTGAAAATCCTTCAGCCTCATAGTTTGAGCCGACGTGTGACAATGAAGCTCAATAGATCGGGAAGTGAGCGAACACATACCGTCGCTCGCTCACTTCTCGATCCTGTTCCTGCAGAGAGCCGTGACTGTCACTCATGGCTCCCTGCAGGGATTCCCCCTCTCCCCTGTCCGATCCTCCGGTGCTGACAGGTGGAACGGACGGGGGAGGGGGCAGGTACAGCTGGCTCTGCCTCTAGATAGGCAGAGAACGCTGTCACTCACGCAGCTGGGTGGATCCAGACAGTATTGTTGGGATCCGTCTCGGCTGCGGCGCCTCAGTATACCACAAGCTGTAGCTCGCGGTATACTGAACTTTGGGTGACGGGAGGACGATAGTTTGTGTCATTTCGTTACCCTTAAGAGAACTATGGGGAAAAGCACTGACTCTCTGCCCAGCCCCTTCTTTCTTTTTTATTGTTATATTTGTTTTTGTTTTTAAATCAAGATTATGGGTAATTATAGGGCTTAGTTGGTAAACAAATGTGTCACGTACCTTGGTGTGAGCCTGAAGTAATGAGGAAGGCCTCCCCTTGCAACTCTCATCTAAGCACCCCTGAAGGTGAGATAGAGGGTGTAGGTATAGAGAGGGGTATGAGTGCCTGTAGCCGGTACAGGTGCTGATGATGCATATGATTGGATACCAGAACAGCGGGAGAAGTAGACTGTCAGGAGAGGGTGCCAGCAGCGGGTAGAGTGGCACAGGTGCAGAAGGTGGAAGCGGAGTTGGAGACAAGCCGGGTTGGTATCTTGTAACATAGTAACATAGTAGGTGAGGTTGAATAAAGACCAAGGTCTATCCAGTTCAACCTGGGTGTGTTTGTCTGTATGTATTTATATATATATATATATATATTTCCAGTCCTGGGGCCAGGTGTTACCAATGACCAGTGTAGCTGGATCAGGTGGCTGAGAGCAGCCTTGTTAGGAGCCTGGACCAGAGTTCAGAGAGTTGTGTTGGAGTTGTGCGTGTGCAGGATGCACACGGACACACGCATACTTGGGTGCGTGCCGGACGCTAAAGGAACAGACGGGGGAGGCTGGGAGAGGTCAGGAAGGTCAGTGACCAGAGGACCTGTGGGACACGCTGCTGGGAGAGCAATATGAGTATCACACTGAGGTGTGCTGAGAGCCTAAGAGCTGAGGAAAGCTACTAAGGACGTTATGTGTTAAAAGGACGGTATTTGCTAAAGAAGGCCGATTATCATGAAAAGTGCATGAAATGTTGGCCTTTATGTGAACAGGGCAAGGCTACCCTGTGAATGATCAGAGACTTTGTGTTTGCCCTTTTAATAAACTGCGTTTTACTTGACTTACCTGGACTACAGTGGAGTGTCCTTGTTACAATATTTATATATATATATTGTACAGGACGCCAGAAGATGGGTCCTGGGAGAAGTGTATATTTCCCTTTGTTCGGGTTGTGGTCCCTTTTAAGGGACAGAAATGGGTTAACAGTTGCTGCAGGAAGTGTGTTCAAAAGGATAGGAAGCTAGAGACAGAGGGGGAGAGAGAAGCCCTGATTAATGTTTGCAGACAAGGCTGTGGAGCAGATGGAAGTACTGGTGCTTTGAAGCAGCTGAACTTTACTGGGAGCCTGTGGGCTGAGAGAGAGAAACTCTGAAGTTAAGAGTGTGATAACCTTGTGGACTGAAACCCTCCAAGCCGGTGAGGCTGTTATTCTTTCCTGTGCTGAAGGAAGCAAACGGTACAGTGTATTATTTCTATGCGGAAGGAAGCAATCTTTTAAGTTGTTTTGCTGTACTGAAGGAAATGACTGTTTATTGTTGCTGCTGTGGAAAATAAATGCAGTTTGTCTGAGAAAGCCTGTGTCCTGCGGTCCAGCTAATTCCCCAAACATCACAATATATATATATTTAACACTTCCCATATCCTTATATATTTAGTGACTGAAGGAACTCATCTAGAAGTTTCTTAAACTTATCTACGCTATCAGCGGCTACCACTGCCTGTGTAAGGGAATTCCATATTTTTACTACTCCCAAAGTAAAAAAAACACTTGCGTATTCTAAGATTGAACCCCCTCCCTTCTAACCTCTTGCTGTGTCCGTGTGTTCTCAGTACTGTTCTCGGTGAAAACAACTTGTTCTGAATATTGGTGTCCCCATTGATGATTTTGAAGACTACAATAAGTAGACATGTAAGCTGCGGGAAAAATTCATGTTGGATATTTCGTGGTTTCGGGATTCAGGCGAAATCCACATTTTTGTTAGTTTTGGATGAGTTTATGAATATTCATTGCGAATACAACAGAAAACCATATACAGATATACATTTTTAAAGCTGAATCTCCTAGACCCGAATGGCATTTGGGATCCGAATTTCCGAATTGTGTTCTGGAACTCCCGAATACCATTCGGGTCTGGGAGCCTCAGCTTTAGTAATATATGGATATGGCTCCCAGACCTGTATGGCATTCGGGTCTGGAAGCCATATACAGATAATAATAAAGCTGAGACTCCCAGACCCGAATGACATTTGTGAGCTCCCACATGCAATTCAGAAATTCATAGCTTTAGTATTATATGTATATACTGTATATGGCTCCCATGTTGCCGTAACGAAAATTAGTGTTCAGACCCATTTGGATGCATTAAACCGAAAAAACGCATCTGATTGGGCAGAAAAGTCACATGTCATCTGATTCAGTTTTGTTTTTGAATGAAATTTGGATGGGATCCGAGATTCAGTAACTGATATTCGGATTCTGACACATTCGGATGCATTGGTATTTGGATATTGGTACAAATTTTGATTCGGAACGAAACAAATCGCACATATCTAGCAATAAGGTCCCCTCTTAAGTGCCTCTTTTCTAAGGAGAATATGTTTAATTGTTGGAGGCAGTCTTCATAGATTATGCCTTCTATCCCTTCAATTAATTTTGTAGCCTTTCTTTGAACTCTCTCCGGCTTGAGGACGTCCTTTCTGAGAGTTGAAAAAAATGAAAAAGCAGGTCACCAGCACTCAAATTATTTAAATAGATATGTCCTTTTTAATGGACAATTATGTCACGACAATCAACAAAGCCAACGTTTCGGGGCCTTGCAGGGTCCCTTCAAGGCAGATAGATCACATCTGCCTTGAAGAAGGGACCCTGCGCGGCCCCGAAACGTCGGCTTTGTTGATTGTCGTGACATAATTGTCCATTAAAAAGACATATCTATTTAAATAATTTGAGTGCTGGTGACCTGCTTTTTCATTTCGTAGTTTGCACGGTGCCATCCGTGGTAGTCACTACAAGCACCATCATTCTTACTGGCCGGGATTGCTGTAAGGTGTGCGGAGAGCACCCTCATCAACTGCTTCCTGAGAGTTGGAGACCAAAATTGCACCGCATACTCAAGATGAAGCAGAACTACTGATTTTATACAGTGGTAGTGTTATTCTTTTATCCCTTTCTACGATCCCTCTTTTAATGCAGGACAGTACCCTGTTTAGGGATGCACTGATACCAAGTACCATACTCGGTACAAGTACAAGTGCAGATACTTTTCCAGCTGCAAGACTAGACTAGAGAAAAATTCAAAATTTAGGAGTCTGCTGTCATTTGTAAGGAGCACACGGAGATCCAGGGGTTTGTACATCTCTGTTTTAATGTATGATTTTGTTTTTATAAATATAAATGAAGGGATGCACCGATACCAGCAAGTACAAGTACTGATACAATTTTGTTTATTGTCATGTGAGAGTTTTTCTAAAACAATATGACGAATGATTTCAGGACAGTGAAGGAGTGCCAGGTCCCAGCTGCAACCAGTGCAACCCTGGTAGTGCTCATGAAAATGCCAAGTATCGGCACTGTAACTTGAAGAGTATCGGTGCATCCCTAATCATGTTGGCTCTGTTGACTGAGTTTAGTATAATTGGCAAAAATGTGGACAGGAAGAAGGCAAACCAGAAGTCTGTGCAGCAGACCAGGTGAGTAACTTGCGAGAAGAGTAATACCAAATCAGGATGCCGAATGGTCAATAGGCAGGCGGAGTCAGAAGTCATCCCGGGTCAAACATAAGTTGCAGAAAAAAGGACCAAAGAGAACACAGGATACAGCTGAAGATCTTACAGCAACATGAAGTTGCAGCAAGCATCTTTAAATAGCCCGCCTGGCCCCACTGGCTGGGATGGGCGTGCGCACACTCGCACTTGTGCGCCACGGTCTGTAAACATGAGCGCATCTCTGTCTATCCCATGCATATGCGCGATGTTGGCACTATAACGCCTTGCTTGCCCATACCTTTGTGCAGGTGCATGTGCAGCGGTCCATACAGAAGCTGTACTAAAGACACCAGACGGATTTCCTGACAAAAAAATCAAGATACTAAGATCATCTGTGATCACATGGCTTTTGATCAGCCCTGTCCCACAACAATAGGTTGTGATATAGCATTTTTGATTAACAAAGTCATGTCATGCAATGATCCCAGCCGGGTGAAATCAGCCGCTCATCATCAATCTCTAACAAGTACCTACTGACGATAAAATGTAGAAAATGTATTGGTGTCAAAATCTAATGTTAAAAATGTTTTCACCATAATTCTGTGCCAAAAATAACTGCATAAAGTTTCAAAAGTTGCCTGGTCAGTAGAGTGTTCCTCCTCTCTTGGGCATTGGGTATCTTTTTTCTTCTTAGTGGCATACGTAGTACTCTGACCCTGTAGTGGCTAAATAGTAAATTATTTTATGGCAAATATACTAAAGGGTGTTTTTCTATGTTTTCTTTCTACATTGTCCCAGAGATGTTCTTAATATCCATTGTGTAGAGCAAACAAATCATTCAAACAACAATGTTTGTTGTACCTGCAGATGTACTTTATATAAATTGACCAGCTGGGCAGGGATTTCTCTTTAATTAAGTTTTTACAATTGCAGTCCGTGACTAAAGGAATTACATTTTTACCTGCCAGCAACCATGCAAACTAAAAAATGCCAGTTTTGGATAGTATTGCCCTTTTACAGATCTACGCCTGATGACCTACATAGAAAAAAAATACTTGAAAACATTTTTTCAGTGAACAGGGACAGTGTTGTACCCTTCTAAACTCTCACCGCCCTATTCCCCAGCGACGTGGAATTCCACGGATTTTGTTTTGTCTTCAGTCAAATGTACAGAAAGTTAGGCCGTGTATGAGTATTTGAGTTCTGGAGTGAATCCGGAATTGTGGGTTGTTTGGGTTGGTTTACTTGACAGTGGCAGTTTAGCTTGGAGTCAAGCTTACTGCAGGAGCATATCACCCCCTCCCATGGGTCACAAAACTTACAAGACCCTTATTTTCATAGATACACCTATTTCAAGTGCAAAAATAACTTCTACAGACAGAAACATGGCTGTGCCATGGGATCACCGGTGTCTCCTATTGTGTCTCTAACTGTAGTTAGCCAGTACATGGAGGAGGTTGGACAGGAGAGCCTTGAATTGATTCCGGGAACAAACATCAACACTAACACATTGGTGCCAGCAGGGGCCTACCTATAAATCACAGGGCCCCATAGCAAAATTGTGTTACGCCCCTTGCAGAGCCCACCTGATATCCCAAACAGCCCACCTGAGAGTGACCCTGCAGAGCCCACCATAGACTCTCTATAGTGGGCTTTTCACACCCCTGCACACCTCTTACCTGTCAGCCCCTCCACAGTCGCTGGTAGTCTCCTCCTCCTCCGTCACAGGGCCCCACCTCCTCCTCCCTTGCTCCTCTGCTGCCAACTCTGAGCCCCGCCTCCTC